GGGGGGGGGGTAGGGGGAGGCAAGTGATCGTAGACGTCGAGGCATCGATCACCGAGCCAGCCTGTCAATTTACCTGAGGGAGAGACTTGTATGTACACACACGCTCGAGAAATCGTATGCACAACGTGGAAACAGCGGAGTCGACCGATTCAACCATCCGCTAAACATCTCAATCTTCCGGCCTTAATGCCGACGGTATACGCCCGCCAGCGTGGCGCAGCGCCGCGAACCACAGGTTTATCGAAGCCACGATAAATCCTTCCGCCTCGGAATCTCCTTATCTCGCGGATATACGTACATACGTATATCCTCTCGAGTGGGACTGAGAGGTCTCGGCGTGGTGCCATCCGTTTCCATCCCTCGGAATAGCGAACTGCGAGCTCGCGAAGTATACGGCGACGTCTAAATGGAACGTGCGCCACCATTTTACGATCTGCCTCCGAAAATGGTACTCACTTTCGCTCGACGAACGAAAACGATAGACAATATTGACCAGGGCAAGATCGATGAGACGAGTATTTCGCTCGCTTTGTTTCGTGATGACGCTTTTCAAACTGTGTGTATCTACTATCGCGTTGCTATGACGATTATACTGGCCAAAGAGAACAGAGTACGCGCAGCGTACTGTAAAATTACAAGGATGTAACATTAGTTTTGCTGTTTTTTCAATCAACCAAACAATTTTATCGTTTAACTCGATATTGATATTAGCAAAAAAAGAGCTAGTCAAATCTGTCCATTTACAAATATGTTTCATTTTCCAAAGATTTAATTGAAGTAACTAATTGTAATTACACAACGAGCATACGTCGTTCATAGCTAAGAGGTTAAGCTGCTAAGAGGTTGAGCCAACTGCTTAAGATCTAACCTATCTAATCGTCTACCTCCTAGCTCTATACCACGCGAATAATCTTTCTCGAACATAATATTATTGTTCCGTTGATCCGTCATTGTTTGTCACGCGACGCATGATCTTCCTCGTTTACCCTCCGTATGTATGTACAAATTCCGCGTACGGAGTAGTTAACCCGCGGCGTTGGCGTCAAACGAAAACGTTACGCCCGGAACGAAATTTCTCAAAGAAGATGGAAACTAGTCCTTGGCTATCATAGATGAATTCTACACCTTCCATTTCAAAGTTAAAAGTTTTTTTTTTGCATTGTATTGTACACCATCATGAGAAGGTAAAAATTTTCCAAAGAACCTAACAGTTCTTCCGCAAAATGGCGAACGCGTGCGTGCTAACAGCGACTTTATGATTCTGGACATTTGCGTTTATATGTTTATATTTCGAATAATATTAACAGTTAGTTTCATCACTTGATTATTCACAACTGCAATAGATGAAACGTTAGTGAAACCTAATACGAAAGTTACATAAAATAGACATCTACGCGTCTGAAACTATAAAGTCGCTGTTAGAACGCACGCGTTCGCAGCGTTAAATGATTAAGAAACTTTCCTACCATTTTTTCGAAAGAACTATGTGAGTGACGAATAGAATACAGTGCAAAGAAAAAAAGAAAAATTTTGAAATTCAAGATCAAGATCGATTTTTCGGCAAATTGTTTACATGTATTTCCATCAAATCGAGCGTGTAGAATTTGTCCATGACAGTCACGGAGAAACTTTTCTTTCCACTCTGTACCCGTCAGCTCCGTTCGAGCAGGTCGATAACGCGGCCGAGTAAGAGAGCCACGAAAACGCAAACAATATGGCACGTTGCGCGTAGAAAAATAAGCCAGGCGACGAATTCGCGCCGCGCTGTCGACGAACGTGCCCGGCAAAACAAGCGGACCACTTGTCTGATTTCAAAGGTTTTACGAGATTCTACAGCTCTTCTGTGGACCGTGTTGGGCGAGTTTCTGTCGCGCGACAACGCGCAGAAAGCGAACGAATAATCCGACAAGATTAAAAGCTGAAGACTAATCGCGCGGATGTAAACGGGAGGGATCGAGATCCCTCCTTCTTCCAATTTAACGTTTTCTCCAATTCTTGGTCCTCGGGCGAGTCGGCCGGAGGAACCGAAAAGAAAGAGTTATTAGATCGATAAATTCCACGGGGGATTTATCGCGTAGCCGCGTGCGAAGAATGCACGGGGCGGGATAATGAGCGCGTTTGCATCCGGGAAACGGCGTCTTGGAGCACGTTTTTCCGGATCACCGCCGCTTCAGGCGTCGACGCTCGTCGGCTGGAATATTATTTCCATTTTGCCGGTGTTCGGCGTACACGTGCAAACAACGACGACGACGAACGCTCCCCGACCAGCTGGAAGTAATTTCTTCTGTCTCGATGTTCGCCCTCTGAAACGCGCCTACTCGCGCCAATGCCTTCCCCGAGACATTCGAACACGGATATCGTTCCATTTCTAATCGAGACCTGTCGCCCCGTTTTCCCTCGCCATCTCGACTCGTGCGTCGAAACAAAATAACGGACAAATTGAATTGGAAATTGAAACAAATTTGAGAATTGAATTTCGAACAAATTGAAGAGGACGAGCTTTACGATCGACGTATCTGCCTTTCTCGTACCCGAGACGAAGGACCTTTGAAAACTGGCCTGGTTGGGTACACTCTTCTAAGAATAATGTAAAACTTCCACTCGTTCGTTCGAGTTCTCCGTTCGTTTGTTTGTCCGATTGTCGATTGTCGTTTGTTTGCAAATCGGAGTAACACTCGGCACTGCGTGAAAGCTGCTAACAGCGGCGGAAGCGATACTATAGCTCGATCGGGAAACGGCAAACTATGCTCGAGCTGGCTGAACAAACAGATTATACGAGCTGAAATGACGAGATTCGCCCGGCGTTGATGGAAACGGCCGGCGAACAAAGCACGGGAAGCCAAGAATCGTCAGATAGTGGAGGGCAATACGAGAGATCTAAGACTATAGAGACCTCCATAGATAAAAGGAGGTTACGGTCGAATGCCGCGCCAACGTTCTGATGATGAAATATTGTGGCAGAAGCATGGTGGAAAGGCTTGAAATCACAGAGCAGAGTCCGATCATCCGTTTGAACTGGACAGGTGAAGCGAATATTAGAGCGCGGCTGCTAGCCTCGGGACATATATAGGTATCGTCCTGTTGGAACGAGAGGGATATCGAATAATAATACACAGAGAGCGGATAACGCGATCTTTGAAGAGAGATAAGGAGATCCCAAGCAACAGACCGTAAAGGAGCTAGAATCATGGGATAATAGCTCGATCTGACAGTCTCCTGCGGAGAGAAGGAACTAGATGCCGAAGCAGCATCATCGGTACGGCCCTTTATTATAATCTAAGACAAGCTAGAACAACGTTTACGATACAGAGGCGTGGCACTTCGACAACACACTTACGATGAGATCATAGAACATTCCCGCAACTATCCGCAAAACTGACTGTATTGTTTGCTCTTTCAAATTATTATAAACGTTTGGAGCGTGTTACGTGGAAATAACACGGTTAAACAAAGCGTAAATAGGTAAAGATCGGTATGTACAGCGTAGGTGGTAATTAATGCAGGATGACGGGACTCGAGTCTGTCGTCGAATAATCGGTCCCGGTCGGAGTTCCCCGTCCTGCAAAGGGTAGTTCGATCGATCCAGCAACGGGACAAACGAATTTTTCCCCTTTATATTGGCACGCGAATCGCATCCCCGAGGACAATGGCCGCGCGCACAAAGCACTGCGCGAAAAACTGTTTTGTCAGACGCTGATTAAATCCGTTTTCAGCGATCGGCGACAATTTCACGGAAAACTCGGCTCTTTTGTTTTGTCGATTGTCGAAAGTCGCGAGGCGACAAGCCTCGTTACGTCGAGGGAATGAGGGAGAAACACCTTGGGAAGAGAGGGGATTCGTTCGTTAATCGCGGCGCGTCGACCGAAGCTCGTTGAAAAATAGCTCGTTGAAGATCAACGATAGGGCGGATAGAGATGCTCGTCTTTTATTTGGCGATAGAAGTTAAAGGGAACGAAACGAAGGGCACGGCGAATCACGAACGATTGGCTCGTACGCCGGAAGTTCGTTCGCCGAGGGTAGACAAGAGTGGAGCAGTGGTAAGAAGAAAAGTTAGCAGCTTCGTGACCAGTTTCTCGGATAGTCCACGGTTTCCCCGATCTCCGGCCGGTTGCCAATTAGAACTTGGAACCTCCAGCGTGAACACGCTAATCCTATTCGACAGGTCGATCAAAACCACCTATCTGCGAATTCTGCTCTAACTATTTATCTATCTATTAAGATCATACGGTTGGTTGTAACCGTTGTAAAATTAATAAGTAATTTCAGTTCGATCCTAGAGATCGTTCATCCATTCGACAGGGAAAAGGATATTTCAAGCTTACTTTTTTTAAAAACGGCGACTTCGACATACTTTGTTGTTTTATTTTGGAAAAGGAAACAAAGATTTGCGATGTGTACAAAAATAAATTTGCTAAATTTTGTTCTAGTGATTTCAACTCAGAAAGATCAGTGGAGATCGATAGTGACAAAATTAGTGTCGATGAAAATCGTCGCTACGAGACGGCGGCAGGCATTCCAAACGTATCAGAATCAAGCGTGGAAAATCATTCAAAGACATCACTCGGATACGCGAGTAATAAACTCGATGTTTAGATCAATTTAAAACAAGTTCATCTGGTTAAAGGCATTACCATGTGTGATTCACTTTTGAAACGTACGATGACAGGCACTGATGAAAAATAGATCGTCTGCGGGAAAG